AATTGTTTTACTAAGCTGTGTTTTAAAAATTGTGTGGTTATCTCTGTTTAGTCCACAGTTGTTCAGTGTTCCTGGTGCATTGTAGCTGGTTTAATCTGTAAGGCCAAAATGATAATATGTGGCGTATGTTTACCTTCTGAAAGAGTACTGGATTGTAAAACCGTGTGATCAGCATGTTAAGTTAGAAATGTAAAATATTACAGAGTATTCATACTGATAATATGAAACATGTGACCTGTAAAGTTCTAAAGCATTTGAGATGACCCTAAAACAGCCAAGGACAGAGTGGATATACTACAGGATACTATTGTTCCTGGACTTGGACAATAAGCGATTTTATTCCCTCCCCACCAAGGAGCCCTCAGCACAATGCAACTCAGTGCATATCTCTTAGCAGCACAATCCTTTTATGCAGATCACTATCATATAGACAGTCTGATGAGCTTGCAGGGGGATCTAGCTTCAATTGCTTACATGTACTACTGCTCAGAGCAATTATATATTGACTAATTAAATTATTCAGTTGCCTGCATTGTCAAAGGCTGCTCTTTACATTTTAATTGCTTTGGATAAGCAAATAGGTATGACAAAAAGAGAGTTTCAGTTCTATCCTTAATTCCTTCAGAAGAAACTTTTAATTCATGTGCAATAACACATGTGTGTAAACTGTGTCTAAGACATGAGAGCAATCCCCATACCAGCCAGCAGCCAGCTGGCAAACAGAAATCCTGTGTAAGCACAAGGCTTGCTCTCTCTGTTCTTCAATTTAGCTCAGCTTGTGTTCTCTTCAAGAGCACAGAATATTCCACATCCACTTGTCCTTTAGTTATGAGCACAGTATAATACACCATAAAAGAAAGTCTAATGACTATGTGCATTTATATGTCAATAAGGATCAAGCTTTGGGCTTCTGGTTCTCTGCCAACATAGCCCAAGGTGCTGTAAAACCTGCCCTCTTCAGAATCAAGGGCCAACCTTGTCAGCATTTATTCTCCTGCATGTTATTTACTGTTCTGTACAATGAGCAGAGTCACTGAAACCAGAGAGGTGCCTTGGAAAGTTCTACTGAACCAGCTGCAAGCTGTATGCGCAAGCTGTCCTTAGGAACTAACACAAGCCAAGAGAGGCTTTAATGTTGTTACTGGATGCGGCCAGTGAGGAAGCAAAATTAAGCCAGGTCAAAACTCTTGACTGTGCTCTGACAATACTGGATAATTTACCAAGACGCTAAGAAGTCAGCTTCCAAAAATGCTCACTCATGGCAACACTCGGCGCAAATACAACAGGAACAAGGAAACACTGCAGCAAATCCACCCAACAGGGAAAAGACATGGGTATCCTAGGAGCTCCTCAAAATGTATCAATTGCCATTTAATGTGTATGTGTGCGTGCACATGTGTGTGAGCATGCATGCATGTGTGCATACACATTTCATATTATGTTTCATATTTTGAAAAACTGTCTTGTTGTAAACTGTTGAGATTTTCTGTGAAAATATTAGATGGTGTAGAAAAAAAATTTAAACAAGGTAAAATAGATATACAAACTTCTCCCCCTTTGAAGAATGGCCTTAAACTGGGTATTTAACATACTAGATTTTTCATTACCCAACACAAACAGGCTGTTCCTATAAACTAGCAAAGCTGAGATGCCCAAGTTCTTCTATTCCCTTTTTCTCTATCTGCTATCAATCTCATAGCAGGAAGTGTCCCTTATTGCTTCATTTTTTTAATAGACACGCAACAGTTCAATAAATTATCCTCTGCTACAGCAACCACTGTTCTCTTATCCCTTTCCTCCTCCACCACCTCCACTGTCATCATTGTCTTCATTTTCAGTGCAGGGTTAAATATGAGCAAACTTTTCATTATCCTTACCTTTCACTTGCTGCCACACCTAAATTTCTTGGCCTGGAAACAAGGCCTATGGCTTTTAGAAAGAGGAAAAACATATATTAAGTTGGATGGGTTAGGAGTGAGGACAGGGAAGCAGAATCACAAATGGAGGATTGAGCTGGAGAGGGTATAGGGAACGGCACTATGGCCCACTTTGCAGGTCCCCAAATCCTTAGCACACGTAAGCACATTTGGAAATTTGAGAAACTGCTGCCAGCACTACATGGCAATGTGTAATCAGTGGATTGCCATGTTGGTACCTACTTGTTGCATCTATGGATTTTAGCCTGCACTGTATTCAGTGAAAATTTCAATTCTGTGCCTATTGAACACAACACCTCTTTTAAAAAAGGGCTTGCCCAATTCATCTAGTTGTGGTGATGCCATACAAGTGAATGTATTTTTTTAAACATATGTTTTGGCAGTGTCTAGTAGTTGCTTCTTTTTTGGGGATGGGTGGGTAGAGATACAGGTTTGTACTGGAACATTCTTTCATATTCACCGATGTACACACTCTATTTACCTGCTTTATGGAAATTAACAAATGGCTAATGTGAATGGATTCTCTGCATCCTTTTGACACCCAAGGGACTGATATTGCTGATTGGAAAGGATAAATACTCACCTCCTATTATGCAATGGATTGAGGCCCTTAAGCTTTCAATCTTTGAAGGGGTAGCGCACGTGCGCGCGCGTGCGCGCGCGCGCGTGCGCGCGCACACACACACACACACACATCACCTTCAAATGTATATTTGGTATCTGGCCCAATTTTTCTGAAGCCTATGACATGTATAATTACTAGAAAACTGCATATATTTCTTAGAATCCATGTATGAATATTAAAATAACAGAAAAATAAATCATGTTTCCATGGGCTGACAGACACCATGGTGGAGACCTCATCACAGATGTACTGGAGATCCCCGTGAGTGCCATGTGGGGGGGGGGGGTCCTGAGCTACACTATCCATAACCAGCAGTGGCTGTGAAATACTGGTAGTTGTGTGGAGCAAATAGAACATGTTTACCATAAAATATTATCCTTTGTGTGCAACATGTCACATGCATTATTGCAGCAATCCTTACAACTTTATATCAAATGACAGGTCAGGACCTGGTTACCTTAAGGACAGCCTCTCCCTGTACCAGCCTACCAAACTGCAATGATCTTCAGGGACCTTGTCTGTGCTGCAGCCCGTGGATTTTCTTTTAGTAGAAAGGGGCCTTCTCTGCTGTGACGCTTGCACTGTGGAACAATCCCGACTCTGAAGTATGTTAGGTGTCAGCAGTGATGTGTTTTAGGTATTTATTAAAAATCTATGCTTTCTTTGGATTTCCTGCCCTGATGAGTTATTTTGGATTTCCTACCAACCTCCTGATTATATTGTGCATGCATAGTATTCTTGTTTGTTTTTATTCTTTTGTAAACCATTTCAGAATGTTTCAAATGAGAGGCAGCATATCAAGAAATATACAGGTGGGTTCATTTTATCATCTGCAGTGGTTTGGTTAAGGCCAATTTTGTGGCCAAGGTGAGATGGCACCTGGGCCTTCACAGCCTCATTCTTCTGGCCGCTCTTCTACACTAGCTCTCACAGCACAGGGTCATATTCTGGCTGCTAGCCTGAAGCTGCATGTACTAATACACTTTTCGTGTTTTACCTTCCTGCTCATTTTTTCATGTTTTAGTCTAACATATTGATTGAAAAGAATTGCTGCTCACATTGAACGCCTAAGAACACACAATGTGACAGCACAGCAGGTCTTTCAAATTCGTTACCGGGGAAAATGCATTGTATCGAGGTAATGGGAGACTCTATTCAGCTGCATTACCTGCAGATTGAGCTTCCACATCATCTTTGTGAACAATACACCCAGCAGGTCTATTCAATGTTCCATCCCATGTACACAGAAAGCTTCTGTTAATGCCACACAGTGAGTTGCCTAGTATCACACCTGATCATGTTCAACTTTCCAGGTATGAGTTGCTTCCTTGTGGCTCAGCAAGCTGGCAGGTCTTGAAACTTGGAGTAGACTGTCTATTGTAGGTGGGAATTACTGGCTCACTTCGGAAGCAGGGGTGGCAAAGTGTGGAATGAATAAAGGAAACGTTTGTGGGTATGAGGGAACGACCCTGCTGGACTGTTTCAGGAAAGTGCAGTACTTAAGCAATTTTAGACTGTGCACCATCGGGCCCGCCTCTTCAGACGATAACGTGCTTTACAGCACTCGCTTTAAAATGCAATAAACAGCCATACTGCCTTTGGGAGCTTTCTTGCCCAAATCTGCTGAGAGGGGCCTTGGACCTCCGCCCCAAAGTCCTGCCATGATAGCACTGCTATAAGGAAATGATTCACAGAAAGCAAAAGTCCGGCTTGCCAAACCGCCACGAATCGGCTCCTAACAGAAAAGGGGAGGTGGCTAACTTCTTCCTCGCTGCTCCGCCAAGTCCAACGTGGGACACTGGCTGAAGTCTTTGAGAAGTGGCAGAGCTATGCAGTGGAGCCCCAGTGCGGGCGGGCGGGGCTGGGAAGCTCAGTAATCGTGTAGAAGTGGGGGTGGTCCTGCCATTCCCGTGTATGCAGCGCTCTGAGCCAAGCCGAACCGGCTTCTGTTCTGCAGTAACTGACGGACGCTGCATTGCCCTCACCGGGGAGTAATCACGGCCAGGGCCGGGTCAGGAAGTGCAACTGTCGCGCCCACTGAAGCGGCCGGCACCGGCGGGCGGGGTGCTAGAGCCCCTGTCCAATGACGAAGGCAGGAGCTTCCCGCCTCACGGTTAGCGCTCGCCTCCGAGACGTCCGAGCCTCAGGTCGTCGCGCGCGCCGTCTCCTTTCTCGGCGAGTCGAGGCACGCGCGCTTGCGTCTGCCTGCCGCCCGCTCTGGCCCAGGCAAGCGCGAGCCCCGGCGCTAGTAGAAGCAGCAAAGCGCGCGAAAGAAGCCGCTGCCGGCTCCTGTCTGGTTACGCCGCCACTCCTCCGAAGCCCGCCCCAACCAAGCCTCTCGCCGCGCGGCTCCACCTCTTCTGTCTCCGCGGCCCCGCCCACTCCCAACCGGCGGGCTCCAGGCCCCGCCCCGCCGGCTGCCCGGCTGGTTTCTGACTGCTTGCTTGCTGTTGCTCTTGCCGCATGCTGCTTCGTGCCGTTGCCGGAGGAGCTGGAAGATGGCGGAGCCGGACTGCAGCGCTCTTCTGGATGAAGAGCTCTCCTCCTTCGTCTTCAGCTATCTCGCCGACAGCCAGGTACGGCTCTGAGCGGTGAGACGCAGCCTCGAGGCGCACACGGCACGTCCGGATCTGGCACGCACTGAGCAGTCGCAGGGACTCCAATGCACAGCAGGGACCGGCGGCGGCGGCGGCGGCGGCGGCGGCGTGTGTGGGGGGAGGGGGGAGTCTGGAGCGAAGGGAAACCGCTGTGGGGGAGCAGCAGGAACCCCGGTTCCACCATGCACCGAGAAGGCTCGGCCATAGGGCCCCCCGGGAGCATTATGCAGTTGAGAACGTCCGATGTGTTATATGCTAAGGATTTGGCGGGAGGGGGAAGGGGAATTGTCAGGATCCCGGATCTATCCAGCGTCGTGAAAACTGGGGTTCGGGGGATCTTGATGCGCCACGCACTGGGAAGTCTAGGACTCGGAGATTCTTCCGATCTGTCATGCTGTGGAGTTTGGGGCAGTAGGACGCCGCATTCGCTCTGCATAGAATCTGGGGCGCCGGAATGTGTGCGTTGTGTGTGTTTCTGGGGCGGAGGGGGAACGGGCTCAAACCCAACTTGGAAGGCTTGGGGTGTAAGATCTCTGGAGCAGAAGAAAGTGTCACGGTGCCTGCTCAGACCTGATAGGCACCCGTGAGTCCCTCACATATTTAAGAGTGTGTGCGTGTGTGCGCGCGTGTAAGTAAGTGTAAGGAGTTTTGCTTGCTGTGTAGTGGTTTCCTTCCTTCTTCTTTCAAATGCCCTGACAGAAGAAAACGGAAGAGCTGGATGGAAGCGCGGCTGTTCTGACACGCACATTCCCACTGCATCCGAGGGCTTGGAGAGGCTGGATGTGTGCGGGTTGTGTGCAGTCGGGATTCCTTCAGACACCGCCAGACAGGACGGACGAGTGTGGGGAGGGGAGGCCGCATGCTTGTGCACGCGGAACAGGCAGCAGTCCGGCTGAGCGGCGAGCACCGAGGGCGGCTGCAGCCGACAGCCCTGGAGGAGGCTTGCGTCTCTCCATGCAGCACTTAAAGCGAGAGGATCCGGCTGAAGGGAGGAAGATATAGTGTTCCCACCGTGAGCCTTGACTTGCGGGTGGCCCTCCCTCCTCCACCGCTGCATGCATGAGGAAGGGAAGAGAAAACTCGAGGAGCCCGAACACTTTTCAGCACCACTCGCACGTGGACTGGTGGGTCACGCTGCTGCTTCCTCCATCGCCCCAGATACCAGCAAGTCCTCTTGCTTTTGCATGGGCTCTTAGTTGGATTTGCAGAGTTCCCTCCTCCGCCGCCCTCTCCTTTCAGTTCGAGCCTAGATAGCACTGTTAGACTTTGCTCGGGATCTAAGGATGCCAGAGGTCGAAGGTGAAAGCGACGGTAGAAGAAAGAGGCAGCGTCGTTGAAAGTGTTAATTCACTGCGAATTGTGCTCCCACCCCGCGGCGCCTCTTCCTTTGGGCTTGCTGTTTGGAAGCGCCGCTGTCGCCTTCTCCCTTTAACGTACCGAGGCAGGACTGGCAGCTGTTCAACTTGACTGTGGGGCAGCAAGAATAGATAGATGCAGGACCCTCCCACCCCTTTTCTTCCAGGGATTTGTTGTTGGGGGCTCCAATTTCTTGGGTTGTGCACATGACTCACGCTGCTTGCTGGTTTTATACCTGCAGCTTTGGAGTGAGGCAGGGGTGTGTGTGAGTTGTTACAAATAAGCAACTTTGCGGATCTCTGCCCCTTTTAGACGGAGTTGCATGTTAAAATCAGAGGAAGGGTTTCTTTGCAGTCCTCTTATTGTCACCAGAGGTGCCTGCTGGAAGGGCAGCAGGCTGCATTCTTTTCGGTGGGGAAAAGAGAGTGGGTCTGGAGAGCCGGTGCCACAAGATAATGCATCTCTCACAAGCCCAGTGCCTGTTGCAATTGCAAAGAGCTTTCCATGGTTACAGTTCTACTCACCCCCACCTCATAGCCCTCCAATTTTTCTCATAAGCAGAGATTACTAAACGGCTTTGATTTGGGATGTGGCACATTCCACCCCTCCTCCCTCCTGGTGCTATTTATTTAGTTGCTTAAAAGAGCAAAGAGGACAGTCTGCTGTGTTTGGGTCCTAAACAAGCCATAGTGTCTTGGTCTTGATCAGTCTGAGTTGCCACTGGTGTGTGTGTGTGTTTATGTGCCAGGGGGAACCAGGCTGGACTTGCTCCAAGCTAGATGCAGTGTAGTCTGAGCACCTCTGTTCTAGAGCCAGGTCTGGAGCTTTCCAGTTTGTCATGGGACAACGGTGGCTGGGGGGGACTTTGCAAAGAATTAAGTAGGAGATGCTGACAGCAGGATTAAAGAAGTTTGGACAGAATATTTTGTAAGCAAGTTTCGTCTTTTATGTCTTACAAAGGCTCATTTAGATGATGCCAGAAAAACAGCTGACTTGGAAACTGTTGGTGGAGTCCATGAGAGGTATTTGATTTTGAAAAAAACAAAAACCAACAACATACATCTTTGGAACAAAAGTGTTTAGAGGATTGCATAAAACACTTGCCTTTTATAAAGATGAAGAGATGTGCTCCTTTGTAATCAGCTGTGTGGTTAAAAGCCTAATGTACCTTTATTGTTGTATGATAGTTGGACGTGCTGTTTATGTAGCCTTTTAAAATATAAATGTACAGGGTTAACAGATCTGAGTTCTTTTGTGTTGGAAAGACCATAGATAATCATAGACCTTTGAGGAAAAATGTGAATTTTGCCCTGGCAAAGAGGACTTCATTAACTGTTGTTACAGGCAGCTGTTTATGGGTAGGTAGCATCATTGCTAAGACAGTGTGTCACTTTAATATTGTGGTAGGTTATATTTGATTTCTGCTGCAAGCGCCTCTGCATTGCTTGGAGGCACTTCAATCTTTGGATTACCCTTTCTTCTTGGCTTTGCATATGTGCAAGGGTTAAAGTCTGGAGTGAAATGGAGCGGCAAGTGATTTCTTTGAAAAAGGATGAAGTTGCAAGTGCGCTTTGCACTTGTACCTTAACCTCTGACGAAACTGCAGTGAAGGCTCCAGCCTTGGCTTCTGTCACATGCACTGAGTGTAACTATGAGCAGGAGGTGGTTCCTAGGCTCGTCTCTGACGTCTCTTGCTATTACTACTATACTGTACTAGTTTCTGCTTACAGCTGGGCTGCTAAGTTTTCAATGAAGTCTGAAAGCTGCTTCTGCAAAGCCTCCAGTGTTCTAGCACAGGATCAGATTATCCTAAGAAGCTAAAATGTCAGGAGGCTATGAGATCATGAATATTACCCCTTTCTTTCATGGAGACCCTGAAGGAATCCAGCTTTTCCCATTACACACTGTGGACACCCCTCCTCCTTCCTCTCTTTGCAGCAATGCATACCAAAGCACTGTGAATATCATAGTACAGGTGACCAGGAACCCACAAAGTGTCAACCTGAGTGGCCTTACTCACTTTGATAGCTGTTATGCAGCGAGGGAAAAGATGTTTCAGAAAATGACTGCATTGCAACAGATAGATGTTAAAGGCCTTTTCTTATGCAGTCTGTTTTTTCCATCAAAATAGGCTTATTGTGCAGCACTGTGCAAGATATGATTTACACACAAGCCAGCAAGGTGCATTCCGGGCTTCTCATTTGGAATTGGTGACCATTGCTGCTTATTCATCAGGTGTTGCAAAGCGTCAGAAATTACTAGCTGTGCTGTTGGAGAGATAAGAGTTAGAAGCTGTTCTGTCTCTCTAGGCGAGTGAGAAAGCAGCTTGACTTTTCCATTTTTTTGTTTGCTGAAGGAAAAAAATATGAATGATAACATAAGCCGCCACTTGGAACTTCCCTGGGTGATTTTTCCTCTTTGTTTTTCTCAGCCTTGTGTTAACAGCTCAATTAATTAATGGTTGGAGACATAAACTATTATTGACCAAAACAAAATGCTTTGTCTACTTTCACACACGCACATACTTCCAACTGTTTCATAGATCTGCGTAATGTTTCTTTTGGCATGCATGAAGTATTTAGTGTATTATTTCTCTTGGCAAAACAAGGAAGTTATTTCTTGGTTAAGCTGTATGCAGGTGTTTTGAGAATACCTTGGCCAATATTATATCACTATTTGGGGAGGGGAAAGACATATTTTTCTCTATTGAGCTTCTTCTGCCTGCTTGCTTCTGTGACTTAATGAAGAGAAAAGGAGGGATATAGGGTTTTTAGTTACCTGTTTCAGGTGTTCTGGCCCTGAGCAGACATGTGTTGAAGACATCATACCAGCACCTCAGTGTGCTCAAACTCTGCATGGATATGTTTGTACCTATGTTTGGGCAAGCACCAAAATGGTCCTTTTGTGATCATCTGATTGTTTGCAGGTTCCGCTGATGTTGATGCTGCTGTTAACATTCTGTTGAAATTATTTTAGACTAATAATAAATTTGTGTGTGTGTACATTTATATCCTGCCTATTCGCCTCTTATAAGGAACAGAAGGCGGTTTACATAACCTTCTTCCTCTCCATTTAACTGTCACAAGAAAACCTGAAAGGTTGGTTATGCTGAGTTGGCGATTTTCCCAAAGTCACCCACTGAGTCTCATGGCCAAGTGGGAATGTGAACCTAGATCCGCTAAGACCCAGCCCAACACTCTAACTATTACGCTATACTGCCTTCACCTCCACAAGGAGACTTTTTGTCATACTACCCTTCCCTTTCTTTTTCTGTAAACATATGGGAAATGGTGGAAAATGCAGAACAGAGCATAACAACCCAACACACATATGCATAAATACAATACAAAATAACAAAACATCATAAAATTACAATAAAGTATTTAAAAGCCAAATGTAAAACCCATTTTTAAGAGCCATGATAGCTTACACAAATTAAGTCACAATGCCCTGTCACAGTGGGCAGTCTTAACCTGATGCTGAAAAAGTATTGAATTTAGTGCTAGGCAGGCCCCATAACTGGGAGGCTGTCACTGAGAAGGCCTTTCTTCTTGACACCATCTGAACCTCCCTTAAAGGTTGTAATTGGAGGCAAGTCCAGATCCTGGTCATAGTATACAGGT